CCCCAAAACCCCAAAACCCCAAAACCCCAAAACCCCAGCATAAAAATAATAATTGAGTTTGCAAGAATATGGAAACTTTTATTGACACATCTATAAAGCCTGGTTGGGTACCTTTCCACAGACTGTAAGGCAGTATTTAGGTATAAAATCCTAAAATTTTACTACACGATTTAGAAACTTCTTCTAGGATGCTTTCTCCAGAACTATTCTTTATTAAAAATGACCAAACTTGGCTAACACTACTCATATAGCTTGGATGAGGGTTGCCAGAAATCTTGTGAATGCTGTATTGAAGATACATGAAAGCCCAATTATGAATGAGAGTCTATGTCTACCTCCACCCCAGTGATCTCGATCCTTGTGGTGATCTGCTGATTCGTACTGGTTGCAGTAGGAATCATCCTCTATTTTCATATCTATAACTGAGTTATTGAAAAGCGTGAGAAGAGAAAGGAACAGGAGCTAGATAAAATATATGATGAGTTACACCAAAATGACTGAATTGTTTATGGCTTTGAGTATTCACCCTTTCCACCAGTGAAGAAGGTCATCTTGAACCGAGCCTGTGATGAGTCTGTGATAGCTCAAGGAGATTTGTGCAGGAAGGGTAATATTAAACGTAGCTTAACCTTTGTATAGAAAAATCTATTTCTCCATCTCAAAATCAAGAAATTCGATTTCATGATTACACTCACAGAAGTTCTTTAAATAGTAAATTTCTCTAACCCCATAGGAAACTCAGTTTCAGGCCTTCTTCAAGACTCCTCTTCTCAATATACCTCCACAAACGAAAATCTCTACAACACCAACCCATACCAATCAACCTTGGCTCATTTACAAGCAGACCAGAACCCCTTCTCCAGAAGGATCAGAGCAAAGGATGAAGAAGAGGACAAACGGTAAATTTTCTTATTTTATTGTTAAAATTTATAAAAAATCCTTGATAATTAGTCAATCTTACTCCAAAAACCCAACTGAATCATTTCATAGGCCTCAAGACACTTGCATCAGAGAAGAAGATATTGAGTTATCAGTTAGCTCTTGTGGAGGTCCTGACTGAAACCATCTACAGAATCCTTCCCTTTTCAACGCCAAGAATACAGTGATTTTCACTGGGTCCAAATCTGAGAGCTCTGTTTAAGCCGAAAGTAGCTGGGTTCTACCAATTAAGTAAGCATTTTACGTAAATAAATCTGTCTATTTGCATCTTTCAATAATATCTTAACATCTTGGGGTTTTGGGGTTTTGGGGTTTTGGGGTTTTGGGGTTTTGGGG